TTCTTCCTAATCTCCAAATTGCACACCTCTGAAACCACACTAAGATACCTATGAGCAAGAAAAGTTGAGTTGCTCATTGGGGAAAAAACATTTGTTTTGAGGTGTTAGGCAAACTTTATGTGGAGGGTTGATGCCAGGTTCTGTGCTCCAGATGGCCCCATGGGGTCAGCCAATGGCCAAAGAGAAGGCTCATGTCCTTCCAAGTGGACCCTGGGTTGCCATGAGTGAACCCCAGCTGTACTTGCCTCTCATGCCTCATCAAGCTCTCGGGGGCAGAGGAGCTTGTGGAATCAGGGCAGGTGAAGACACACGGTGTGCAGTCCTGGCTGAGGGTGGCATGTGGCTGACGGCCTTTCTACCCCCACACTTCCCTAGTCACTGGTGACAGCTGAGCTGCTGGGGGCTGTGGCTTCGCAGTGACAGACACCATTCCATGCTTGCCCACATACGGTTAGCCCCCCATCCTGTGGCGCTTGTGTGCAGAGAACCTGGGGGTTCATCCTGCTGAGATACCCAGCTCCTGACACCAGGAGATCCCTATTCTTCCCTGATGGTGCCGCCAACACCACTTTTGCAAATGTGGCCTATGAGATATGTCCATCCTGGAGTTAGGCCTGAGGGGTCACGATCTGAGTAGGGCTTCACCCACATGGCTCGTTCAGCTGAGGGCTCACTGACAGGAGGGGGCAAGATGTCTCCTGCCATGGCAGGCTCCGTTCTAGGTGACTGGGAGCAGGATGGGAGGTTGCCTGGCTCTGAGCCATGACCTGGGACAGACCGGTCCCCCAGTTTGGCATTCCTCGGTTGGCGAATGCCCAGGCTTCACTGCAGCGTCCCTACCCCAGCATCCTGTTCTCTGCTTGGTCTCTGATGACGCACTCGAAACACACTGGCCTGCAAGTACGTCATGGAAAAGTCAGCTCTGGGACTCTTTGTAGCTGAGCCAAAGATCTGAACTCTAGAAATCCCTTTCAGAAACTTTTAGTAATACACTACCAGGGGCCTGTGCTGTACAGCATGACTTGGCACAACCTCAATAGATTTGGCATCCAGGCCCGGCCTTACTGCCTCTCCAGTGTGAGCTGAGGGGTCACATGCAGAGTCAGCCTGCAAAAAATCCCTCACCTCATTGTCTTAACTTAATGTTTGGAATTCTACCTAATAGATGAACCAGAGTTCTGAAGACCCTTTGTTTTCAAAGGATTCTACTCCAAGTCCCAATATTCCTTTGTTTCAGGGCTTTGGGGAGGGAGCTCATGTTTAATAGCTACTGCTATTAAACAGAGGGAACACAAGCAGGGGGAGTGGGAGAGGGAGAAGCAGGCTTCCCATGGAGCAGGGAGCCCGATGCGGGGCTCGATCCCAGGACCCTGGGATCATGACCTGAGCCAAAGGCAGACCCTTAAGGACTGAGCCACCCAGGCGCCCCCCTGTGACTTCATTCTAAATTGTCTTTAGCAAATGCTTGGTGGGCTTCTGAAGGGCCAGGAGCATGTCTATGGAGGGGGCGCTGGTGGGGCCACAGTCGTATGACTAGGTATGGCCATGTGGACAGAGCCAGGTTAAAGCATTTTGTCTAGCACTGACTTTGAGGGTAGAAATACCAAGTTCCGATCACTTTACTTTTCAGAACCTGTGCCTCTTGAGGTTGTTTTCATCAACTCTGACCCACAGTTAGCTCAAGACAAAGAGGAGGGACACTACTTCCTGGTTTATTCATGTCAGAAAATCTAATTATTCCCAGCAAGATAGCATTCTAGAGTTGGTTTCAGACTTATTTCTTTTTTGTGGTTCAGAGATTAATCAGTTGGTTTTGAGATCACCTCTCTTTCTTAGTAACTCTGGCCATATGAGTATTTTTGAATGAGTTGAATGTTCCTTAACCTTGTGACCTCAGTGACGTTTGCTGAAATATAACTGAGGACAGTGGATGATCCTGCCTGAGGCAGGCAATGGGTATTTTGGGATCATGCTTCTAAGTTAAATGTGTCACAAAGCCCTTATATTGGCAGAGGTGTGGAACCAGGGGAATCAGCTCAGGTAAGGGGTATTTTCCATTGCATCCTCCTAATGTTAGAGCCATGCTTTGATCACCAGAGACTTCTAGAGTAGTGCTTCGCATATGGATCATGTGGGGATCTTCCTAAAATGAATTTTCAGATTCAGTAGGCTGGAGCCTGAGAATCTGCATTCCCAAAAAGCTCCCTGGTGATGTTGATGCTGCTGGTGGACCATCACTTTGAGTGGCAAGGTTCCGGAACAGTGATTCTTTTTTTTTTCCCCAGCACTGGGCTTGAACTCATGACCTTATGATCAAGACTGGGGCTGAGACCAAGAGCCAGACACTTAACCAACTGAGCCACCCAGGTGCCCCAGAAGTGTTTCTTAAAATATGGTGTACAGACCAGCAGTCAAGGCACCAGGAAGCCTGTTAGAAATGCAAATTCTTGGGCCCCATTCCAGACCTGTAGAATCAGAAATTCTGAAAGTGGGGCCCAGGGGCCCAGGGGCTGCATGTGATTCTGATATCTGCTCAAGTTTGAGAACCACCACTATTGTACAAAATGAATTACATGTCACCCTTTAGGTGGCAACACAATCCAATATTTAATAATCCTTTGCTGCTGGAAGGTTTCCCTTGGGTCTGGCCTCAAATCATTTTAATTACCCCAGGTCTTTTAGGCTTTCTTTAAATAGTCTGTTAAAGTCCTAATCACAGAATTTTAGGCCTAGAAGGAATCTTAAGATGTGTTCTGATTCCTTTTCCCCAAGCTGCATGCCCCTCCATGAACGTTGTCCACTTTTGAGCTTTCAAAGTAGCTGGTGGAAAGCATTAGAGTACAAGTTAAGTTGAATATTTATAACCCACTTGTTGTGATATTTTATCAGTGCCCATCACTTCTTCTGTGTCAGGTTTGGATTATTCTATTTTCTTCAATTTGGAGTTTAAGGATATTTTTATACTGTTTTAGAGCTTCAAGTCTTATACTAGTGTTATTTAAAATTTTTTCTAAAATGGACAGCAGTGGGAAAGAATAATTAAACTTTATAGGAGCTTTTAAATAGTTATATTGGATTTGAAATTAAACAGAGGCTTAGGGAGTTTGTTCTGGGGACAATGAATGGGTAGAAACTAACAATTGTCATGGATTGATATAGAAGAGGGGAGCACTGGATGGGCGTGAGGGGCAAAGGGAGCTTTTTAGAAGGTGAGGGAAACAGAGAGGTTTCAGAGCCAGGCAATAATCCTTGCTGTACTGAACTTTTCAAACTAGATTGTATTCATAAACTCTGACTATGAGGATGAAGGGTGTAAACTCTCTCTTCCAGGCTGTGAGATTCTGATGAATGGGGACACCCTAATGACTATATGACTGAATGAAAGTAGGCAAATTCAGTCCAAAAAACAGTGTACCTCTATTGCTGGAAGGCTTTCTGGTGGGGGGGGCAGTCAAGTAGCAGGTGCACTGAGGCCTCTGTACCTTAACCCAGAGGAGCTGAACCAAGTTTCTGATTTAGGCATTTGGAACATCATTTCCTAATTGTGTGTCTTGATATCAATGGGAGAAGCCTCCTGCACCCCCGGTTCCTGAGAGTAGCTGGCTAAAACAACCATCTGCAAATGAAGGATAACTGACTAATTTTTAGAAGTCTTGAGTCTGGTGCAAGATTTTCCAAGTTCCGCACTGTCCAGGCCTATCGTACATCAGCCTCTAATGTCCCATAGGCATTTATACATGGTCCTTGCAAATACATACAGAAACCCCCAAAGGAATTCCATGTATTATTATTTTTCCTAGTACAGAGTTTTCAAGTTGAGCAAAAAGACACATCTCCAGATAATTGTGAACAAAAGGCCTAGACAAATGCATAACTACAAAGAACAATGACCAGGAAACTCAGAGCGGGAAAGAGCATGGTCAGTGTTCACTCCAAAGGACTTAAGATGTATGAACAACCCGCTGACTTTGACCTAAATAAATGACCCAATGGTAACAAAAGCTCTATCAAAGAAATTGGGCCACAGCCATCAGTTGCTCAACCCATGAATTTGTAACATTAGAAACGTTTCATAGTGGAGTATGAGGTGCGAGGAAAGAAAGATGAGGTGGCATTTTTATCCGAGTAGGGCATGTGCTAAGTGATAAGTGTTGAGGGTTCTTTCTAGTCTATGGCCTTACATTACTGGTTGGCCACGTTCTCCAACTTGAAGACATATCTCTGACAGAGTGAGGTTATTTCAAGAAGCTGAGAGAATTTAGAGTCAACCTCCAGTTATTCAGGGCTCGACCCTCACTTTTAGAAACCATTCAGGATCCCGGCTTTTCTTCTTTCAAACACTTAATCCATCTCCCTCCCCCACCCCCACCCACCCTCCATCTCTTTTTAGACCTTTCCAGGGCTCATTAGGCAATTCAAATAAAGGCTGGGCAAAGAATATAATGTGAAAAAAAATGGGTGAAAGTAAAATTTATAAAGTTGACTCATTCATTCTAAATTCAAAATTGGTGTGGGTAGGAAGAAATTGAGGCTCTTGGCCAAATATGTTATTTTGTTATTGATAGTCATCAACCAATGAATGAATCGTTATTTGCCCATCAACACTTTGAGTAATGTAATGATTTGGTTGTTTTGTAATTATAAACATTGTTAAGATTAAGAATGTACCACTGGGGGCGCCTGGGTGGCTCAGATGGTTGAGCATCTGCCTTCGGCTCGGGTCATGATCCCGGGGTCCTGGGATTGAGTCCCGCATCGGGCTCCCCGCTCAGCGGGAAGCCTGCTTCTCTCTCTGCCTCTCCCTCTCTCTCTGTCTCTCATGAATAAAAAAATAATCTTTAAAAAAAAAAAAAAAGAATGTACCACTGGTTGTCATTTAGATAGACAATAAATTTGTCCCAAGTGATCAGAAGAGGTAATATCTGTTCCCATATGCCTAGCCACATGGATCATTCTCCCCACTCCCAAACCCTTAATGAATCAAAATAGCAAAACGTTACCTGTCCGGCGGTGTCATATAGTCCGAGCAAGTGCTGCTTGCCTCCCACTGTCACAGTAACTAGGGGAGAAGAGAAGAGGAGAGTCCATAAATGCAAGCTTTCGTCAGGAGGCTTCACATTTCTCCATGACAACCTCTTCCTGGGCAGTAAGAAGCATATGCCTCACCATGTATATTCTAAACCAAGCTGACAGCATGATTTCCAAATGAAAGGCAACCTTGGCCTGCAGTAAGAGCAGATGGGCTCAGCTAAGTCCACATTTCTCAACCAAGGTGAATATTATTTGTGCCATGAGGGCACTCTGTAGGCTACTCGTGGATCCCTATTAGGCCCTCGAATATCAAGCTCTTGAAAGGAAAAGGATGCTGGACCCTTTCTTGGTTCGGTTATTTTTTTCTTTTGTTCCGTTGGAGCCACCTTTCAGGATACAGAACTGTGTAAACAGCTTCTTTGCTCGAAATCTCTCTGCTTTGGTCTGTCTCTGAAATGTTAATAAAACCATAAAAACCAAGAACAGTAACCCACCTACATATTTTATAGTCTATAAGGCAAAGCTAATAATGAAACAAGAAGGGCTTAATATTTATTTTTAAAAAGTTTTTTTTAATTAAATAGTCCAGTGCTTTAGCTCACCTGATTTATCACAATATTGAATGTTAGGTGCAGGAGGAGGTGTTGTCCGGGTTTGCTTTCACAGACCTAAAGGGTGTGCATAGGGTGGAAAGTTGACAGTTTGATTTACCCAGCAGGCTTAGTGCCTCGCCACGCAATTGTGTTCAAAAGGAAGAAGTAATGGAGGGGTACGGACCACTCTGTACATGTCTGGAAATGAAATAAAGTCTCAGCTTGAAACTAAACTGAGATGGATCACATGGAATGCAAAATCCTCATGGCGAATGGAAAGAGTGAATTTAAATCCCCTCCCCCACATTTAATCTCTTTTTAGAAAAAGGAAGTAAAATGTGATTTTTTTCCTTACTTGATCAAAAAATGTGCAAATGCAGTGTAAAGATGATTTTTGGTTCCTCCAACCATTAGCTGTGCAGGAGAGAAAGATCTACCAGGTAGTAACCTTTATCACCAGCTCTCTGCACATGCCCGCCGCCCCATTCTCCAGCCTGTTGCTCAGAGTTGTTGATTCAGGACTGATTGGACTTTTATTTGTTTTTAGGTTCCTGGGCTACATGTAGGCTAAGTACCTCTCAATGGCTCATTCTCTGAAAAGTACTTGTTGAAAAGCGCTGCGTCCCTAGACACCAGGAACAATGTTTCTAATCTGCCCACATTAACAGGTGTGCAGCTTGATAACATGGCTGCCGCCGCTCGCCCAAAAGAGCTTTCAAATGTGTATGTTGACGTGGTGAACGCAGCTCCATGCAACGCTGGCCACGATGCTGACAGAAGAAGGGCTTCCAAACATTTTGATTCCCTTTCCCATGTCAGGCAAGCAACGGGAATGAAGGTGAGACTGTGTGGCCCCGAGGTTGGTCCTGTTTCATTTTCCTCTCCCTGCATGCTTGGAGCGCGGTCAGATGTTCCTGAAATCTGCCTAAGTGGTTTCTTTAATGACCAATTCACTACCTAGTCATGGGTCAGGAATGAAGGGAAGAAATCCAACCATTACAACATGGAATTTCCTGCCTCTGGTGAGCCCAGAACAGGCGGGTCGGGAACGGCTGTTCTGGAGACCCTCCAGGAGCGTCCCAGGACCTACAGGCCCAGGGCCATCAGATGCCTGGTCATTCTGCAGATGTTCCTCAGCAGTGGCTCTGACCTTTGTCACAGGAGCGCTCTGGGCTCTTCCCTCTGGCCCGCTTCCCCTCCGGCCCCAGCTTTGGCTGCAGGGAATTGCACCTGCCCGAGGGAGTGCCAGCCCAGTGAGGCCGCGGGGCGGGAGGAGACTCCGGGCAGAGTTTTCCCTTCTGTCTGTCCTTCCCCGACTCCAGGGTTTATGGGGTTCCTGGACTGCGCTCAGCGTTGGGAGTAGAAAGACCAGCTAGAATTCCTCCTGTCCTAGAGGGTGGGGAGGAGGGGTTCACCCGCAAGGCTGGGCACAGCGTCACGTAGTAAACACCATGCTGGGCCAGTGCGGAGGGCGATGGGAGCACACAGTAAGGCCATTGCTGTATTACTGCGTGTGCACGCATGAGTGTGGGTGCTGGTGGGGGTGGGAACACGCAGGGCGCATGCGCGCACGCACACACCCACGCACACACGCTCTGCGGAACTTCATCAGAGAAGACTTTCTGGACGACAGGTATAAGCTGCGTCCCAGGGATGGCCGTGAGTTACTCAGGGTGTCCTGGGGGAGCGACAGGGGGTGGTTCACCAGCTACACTGGCTTTACTGGGGGAGGTAAGCGCACAGGGTCTGGCTGTCCTGCAAAGTTCCTCAGTTCGGAAACAGATCAGTCAGACAGCACAGAAGGAAGGGAGGCCCTGCAATGCTAATAGTAAAGGTAGTGAGGCTGAAAGAGCAGGATCTTTTAAGTCAGATGGTTCTGTGTCGGATACCTACCTTTGCTATTCACAATCTGAGTGACCTTGGGAAAGTCACCTAACATCTCTGAGCCCCTCCTTTCTTATTTGTTAAAAATGGGGATAACATCACCTACTAAAGAGAGCACCTGTAAAGAGCGTATTAAATGAGAAAATGCCTGGCACACAGTCTGGTCCATAGTAAACGCTGAGCAATTATTACCTACTCTCCTTCATTCAACAAATGCTTCCTGAACCTTTAGTAAGGACTTGCTCTCCACTGAATCTCCAGTGCACCTTAACTGGCACAAAAGTGTATTATACTTATGAATTACTGGCTACTTTTTAAAAAAGATTTTATTTATTTATTTGAGAGAGAGTGAGAGCCAGAGAGATCACAGAGAGAAGGGCAGAGGGAGAAGCGGACTCACCACTGAGTGGAGAGCCCAATGCAGGACTCGATTCCAGGACCCTGGGATCATGACCTGGCCTGGAGGCAGACGCTTAGCCCACTGAGCCACCCAGGTGCCCCTACTGGTCACTTTCTATCCCAAATGGTAGCTATTTAGATCTATGTCTTGTATCCCTCACTGGATAGGAAGACCCTTGAGGACAGAATGTCCACACTTCATATACCACATGGTACACAGCACAGTTCCTAATATACGCGGTTGAAGCTGAGCACATGGTACAGAAATGGAACACCAGGGCAGCTCAGGTGGAAGAAAGTCCTTCAAAATGCACTGAGCTGCAGCTTGAAGCTCCCTGGCAAGACACTGACTGCTGGGAAGCGCCTGCAGCCAGCAAATCTGCCTGGCAGACCTCCGTCAGGCTACAATCCCAGATCACCGTCTATTCTTGGAGCTATTAGAGTTGTTTACTGAGCTTAGAGAGGTTTTAAAGAGAGTGAGTCAAATGACGTGCTAATGGCTCCGTTGGTTCTCTCAATAAAGTGTGAAAAGTTGTCAGTGACCTGTTAAGATGTAAAATGAAGGCCTTCTCCAAATCCATTAAACTTTTTGCTTCCTTGTAGTTCTTTGTGCAGATGGGAGTGGTTAATTTTGTGAGCTGGATGAGGTGCTAATGAAGTCTAAGTTAGTGGTTGGCTCTCTTGAGGATCAGTTAGTTTCACCCAGAAAGAGAATGTCCCAGGCGGGCTCTGAGCCTACTCCCCTGGGCATTTCAGTAACCTCCTGTCTGGCCCTGCATGTCATTTGCAAACCTGGATGAGGAAGTGTTGGTTGTTCCCTGTAAGCCAGCTCAAACCCTCAGCCCAGCTCATCAGCAGCACGAGGAACCTGATCCAAAGTCCCTCCCTTGTTAGGTGGTGGACTGGCCATCTCATCTGCCAAGAGCAGTCTTTTGAAGTCAACATGATGCATAGATGATGAATTCAAAGAACTGGAATGGTGGAAATGCTGGGTCAGCTGGGAGGAAGCCACCCTTTCATTCCCAGCACTTAGCTAGCTGCCTGCATGGCTCATGTTGAGTGTACTCTTTTTGGGAGGTAGGATGAGGCAGACCTGATGAAGTGTGTGCATGTAATACCATAAAGGTGCTATTTCGGAGGAAGAAACACTAGATGATATACATAGCAAGAAATTGAATTTTAAGAAAAGTAAAAATGTGGTGCTCTCAGGTAAATATAGGATGAAGATATGTCAAAGATTTATTAACTTATTGATAGAACCAGTAAGGTGACAAATCTTATACAAGGAACATTTTGAAGAACTGACATTTATAGGTACTTAAAAAGCAGAAGGTTGGAAGGAAGTGACTAGGTTCAATGGGAAACTAGTTGTTGTCCTATGGAAAAAATAGCCTTCGGTGTTGTCTTTTCTACTAACTGGGAAATCTTTGCATGTCTACCTGACAAGATTTACAAGTTAACATGCACCTGTACAAAGGTACATTCCCCCAGATTATTAATCCCTGGGGGGAGGGTGCCCCAGCATGACAGCAAAAGGACAGTTTCATGCTCTTGGCCTTATATCCAAGTTTCAGATAATTTTTGTTCATGTCTGAATCTAAGTCCACACTTTGTGACTCATTTGGTGAGATGTTGAGCAAGCCAGTAGGTCTCTCTCACCTGGAAAATGAACAAATCATGTTTACCCTAAGGGGGCATAAAAACTCTTTCTAAGCTGTTCAAAAGCCAGGGCTAGTCATCACAATAGTCTGTGTCTAGGGGGCTATAAGAAATGGAGAGTTTAAATGAAAATTCTTGATTCTGACTCTCATCATGCTTAGCTGACTGGACATCTTCAGGAGCAGCCTCGCCTTTCCCCTCTCTGAACTGACCCTCATCCCCCACTCTTCTTTTTTCTGGAAGAGCCCATCTGGGGCAGTGACGTACCTAGCTCCCCTGGCCACTCTTAGGAGCTGCTTGTGCATGTTTGTGACCTGGTTGAAGCCTCACAACAGGCATGTTTGTTTTATAAGGGACCAACTCAGAAGCATCTGAGATTTTCTTCAAATTAAAGTAAGTTAGAAAACTGTATGAAACTAGAAATAAATGACATATTTTCCTGAATATGAGTGGTAGTGAATTTCTTCCTGGTCAGTTTCAAACTACCAACATA